AAAAGCACAAAATCCTTTGTGTATGGTTTTGTTTTTGTTTTTTTTTTTTGAGACAGAGTCTCTCTTTGTTGCCCAGGCTAGAGTGAGTGCCGTGGCGTTAGCCTAGCTCACAGCAACCTCAAACTCTTGGGCTCAAGCAATCCTCCTGCCTCAGCCTCCCGAGTAGCTGGGACTACAGGCATGCGCCACCATGCCCGGCTAATTTTTTCTATATATATTACTTGGCCAGTGAATTTCTTTCTATTTATAGTAGAGATGGGGTCTCGCTGTTGCTCAGCGCGGGTTTTGAACTCCTGACCTCGAGCAATCGCCTGCCTTGGCCTCCCAGAGTGCTAGGATTACAGGCATGAGCCACCCGCCCGGCCTGTGTATGGTTTTTACTCTTTACCTTTACACTTTTATTTGTGCTTGACTCTTTCTTCTACCAAATGATCTGCCCATAATACTTTAAAATACCTCCATGCTATAGCATCTCTTTCCCTGTTATAAATGTAATGTTGCTACTATGTTTGGTTTGGGGAAATTTTTCTATTAATATTTTGGAAAGATAATTTGATGAAGAGTTTTGTAATTCTAATACTCTATAGGGGACAAGTCACTTGAAAGCCATACTTATATCCATTCAATAATTAATTTTGCCAGCATTGTATTCTAATCTCAAAATTAAAGGACATTTGGTACCAACCTTATCAAAAGAAAAAAAAAAAAAAAAGTTAAAGCACACCCATTAGAATGGTTAAAATAATATTACTGACAATACCAGTGTTGACGAGGATGCAGAGCAATTTGAATTTTTTTTTTTGAGACAGAGTCTCACAGGAGGGGGGAGGGGGGCAGGTATATACATACATAATGAGATATGCACCATCTAGGGGATGGTCATACTGGAGACTCAGACTTGTGGGGGGAGGAGGGGAAAGGGCATTTATTGAAACCTTAAAATCTGTACCCCCATAATATGCCAAAAAAAAAAATTTGAAAAAAAAGAAGGAGAGAACAGGTATTAGGGGACAATTAGTGATCTCTACCATAAGGTCCCCATAATTCTAATTCTGCATTGTATTGTTTTTCATGTAAGAACTGCCATTTATGGAAAACCTCATTGCCTATAGAAACTTACTCAGCTACATTGGGAGGAAATAAAAATCAACAAAATAGAAAATTAAAGTTTTTATAAAAAAAAAAGAACCAAAAAAAAAAATGGATTACAGACTATTAAACACAAACAAGAGCAAAATGATTGCAGTGTGTGCAAGCCAGTAATTAAAACTTTAAAAGAGGAAAAAGTCACCATCACTTAATAATGTTTATTTGTCAAGGTTAGTAACAAATATTGACATGAAAGCCTTTTTCTTTTATTTTCTTCTTAGCATCAGGCTCTCAGCAATTAGGGGGGCATATTTCAGAATCAGTAAGGCCTCAGGTCTGAAGCAGTAAGATCCATGCATTTTAAAATTAGTTGGCAGAATAGCAGGGTGGCTCCATAAAGAAAACTTGCTTGCAACATCATTCAATTAGTGCATGCTACAAGATAAAGGAAAACAGGTCAAAACAGCATCTCCTTAAATTGGTTTTATCTCAAAGATACTCTTATAATAACCATTAAGGATAGACTCCTTAATGGCAAAGGATTTTATATTTTATCTTTAGTATTGATTAAATTTAATCCAAAAGTATAATGTTTCTTAAAATAGGTGATTAAAAGCATGAGCTCTGCGGTCAAAAAAAAAAAAGAATGTAAATTGGGACAATCATTTGGCAGAATTGTTTAACAGTATCTGATAAAGCTGAAAATATATATTATCTGTGTCCCAGCAATTCCTCTCCCCGGTGTATATCCAACAGAAATATATGTGCACCAAAAGACATGGAAAACAACTTAAATGGTAATCAGCAATAGAATGGATACATAGAATAGAATGTAATCCCGCAATGAAATACAGTACTGTGTTGAAAATCAGCGAAACTGTTCCGGCACTCAAAAATATGGTTAAATTTGTACAAACGTAATGTTGCCAGACACAAAGGAGTACCTACTGTATGTATAATTCCATTTGTAGAAAGTTCAAAAATATGCAAACTAATCTATGATGGTAGAATTCAGCATGATGGTAATTTGGGAGGTAATAGTGGGAGAGGGTGTACAGTAGGCTCTGGTTTACTGTTAATGCTTTTTTTCTCACTCATGACTTACTGAGAAAATAGTATAGTACATACTGTTAATGTTTAATAATTAGAACACTTTCTTTTGTGTTACCATATAGTCACTGCTTTTATAACTTTTTTGAGATAGAGTCTTGCTCTGTTACACCAGGTAGAGCACAGTGACATCATCATGCCTCGCTGCAACCTCAAACTCCTGTGCTCAAGGAATCCTCCTGCCACAGCCTCCCAAGTAGCTGGGACTATAGGCACACGCCACCATACTCAGCTAATTTTTCTATTTTTTGTAGAGATGGGGTCTCAGTATGTTGCTCAGGCTGAACTCCTTTGGCTTAAGCAATCCTCCCACCTTGGCCTCCCAAAGTGCTAGACGTGAGCCACAGCTATTAGCCTTAACTTTGTTCTTTGAAAAAGTGATAACTACTTTTAAAAAAAACAAAATGGATAATTTGCGCTTTTTTCCTAAATAAAATGAAAGGTAATTTTACCCTATGAAAGGATTTGCATTCTTTCATTAAAAGTACCATGTAAATTCTACATACCAATTTGATAATTACATGAATCTAATATAGAACCTATAGTAGAATTATGTAACTTCATTTTGAGGTCTTATATGTATATAAATTCTGTATTGCTCTGATTTTAATTACTTTAAATAGTAGGAAATTATTAGTTGGCCTTGGTGGTGCACACATATAGTCCTAGCTACTCAGGAGGCTGAGACAGGAGGATTGCTTGAGCCCAGGAGTTCGAGGCTGCAGTGAGCTATGATTGTGCCACTGCACTCCAGCTTGGGAGACAGAGGGAGACCCTATCTCTAAATAGATTGATATTAAATATTGAACTAAATTAAATCTTGTTCTCTGCAAAACCCCAACTGTGTAAACTTTTCTGTCATTTTTTAGAATCTAGTCAAAATAACCAAGGAAACCTGTTACTATGATTAGTGACAGCATATTTGTTGTGGTTCATATATTTTCCTTGTCCTGTTATAGATTTTAATCAAACTAATGGAAATTTGTGTTTATATTTTACACTTCCTTCCTCCAATTGCTTATGTTAAAAGGCCTCAGAACCATGAAGAAAAGGGAATTGCCTGTGGATATATAATTCTAAACCTGTGGGCCCTGAAGTGGCTTTCACTTTGCTTTTAGATAGTTTTTTCTAAATGCCCATAATACTGTGGATACTATTTGAAGCTTCTTCCCCAAGAAGAATAAGTCTCAGTGGTGTAGGTCTGTTTTGTTTTTGCTTTTTATTATGGAAGATTTCAAGCATGTAATAAAAGAGTAACAGTACAGTGAATCTTCATGTACCCACCACTTTGTTTCAGCAGTTATCAGCATGGCCAGTCCTTCCTCCCAACTACCACCATCCTGATTATTTATAATTTCATCCATAAACATTTCATTATGTGTCTCTAAAAGATAATTCTTTTTTTAAACATAAGCACATCACCATATTACTACTAAAAAGCTTAACAAAAATTTCTTGCTATCAGGAATTCTTTTTTTTTTTTTTTTTTTTTTTTTTGAGACAGTCTCGCTTTGTTGCCCAGGCTAGAGTGAGTGCCGTGGCGTCAGCCTCGCTCACGGCAACCTCAAGCTCCTGGGCTCAGGCGATCCTTCTGCCTCAGCCTCCCGAGTAGCTGGGACTACAGGCATGTGCCACCATGCCCGGCTATTTTCCAGCTAATTTTTTGTATATATATTTTTAGTTGGCCAATTAATTTCTTTCTATTTTTAGTAGAGATGGGGTCTCGCTCTCACTCAGGCTGGTTTTGAACTCCTGACCTGGAGCAATCCGCCCGCCTCGGCCTCCCAGAGTGCTAGGATTACAGGCGTGAGCCACTGCGCCCGGCCAGGAATTCTTATATGTGTTCTTCCCCCCACAGTTAACTGGAATCAGGATCCAAGTAAGATCCATACATTACAATAGATTGATACCACTTAAGTGTCTTTTAAGCCTATGATGGTTAATTCCCACCCTTCTCTCCTCTCTTTCTCTCTCTCTCGTTTTCTCTCTTTCTCTTTAGTTTGTTGGTTGAATAAACCAGTTTCTTTATCCTATAAAAATTTTCAGTCTGGATTTTGCTGAATTTTTTTTTTTGAGACGTGTCTCAATCTATCACCTAGGCTGGAGTACAGGAGTGTGATCATAGCTCATTGTAGCCTCAAACTCCTGGGTTCAAGTAATTCTCCTGTCTCAACCTCCTGAGTAGCTAGAACTACAGGCGTATGCCACCACACTTGCCTAATTTTTTTTGTTTTGTAGATACAGGGTCTTACTATGTTGCCCGGGCTGGTCTTAAACTCCTGGGCTCAAGCGATCCTCTCACTTTGGCCTCCCAATGTGCTGGGATTACAGGTGTGAATCACCACTCCTGGCCTGGATTTTGCTGATTGAGTACCCTTGAGGTTTCTAAATTTACTCTTCTGTATCCTTTATTTCATGTAAATTGATAGACCTAGAGGAAAGGTCTGATCAGATCTAGGCTTGATTTTTTTTTTTTTTTTACAAGAATACTTGGTAAGTGACATTGTACCCCTTAGTATTCTTAACATTCTCTTGTTAAGTTGAATGAGGAAAAAGTAATAAAAAATTTTCAATAAAAGGATTTCTTACAATAGGACTTAGAAAAATATGTATGTATGTACATATAGACTAACTATTGTCTTTACAGCCAGTTGTATGACCTGAATTATTGGGTGTAAAAATCTGCATTCATAATGACAGTGCAAATCATATGTTTGCTTGAAATCACAAGAGGGCCTTGTATTTTCTGAAATTTTTATTGATACTCAGAGTTAATAGTTAACCTTATGAAACAGGTACATGGTAAACAATGACAAAGCATTAAAATGAGGGAGTGCTCTGATTGTGGCAAGTTCAATTTTGCTTTATTTAGTAATGTTATATAATGAACACTTAATGACTTTTAATATATGACCCTTTGCTTTTCTACAGAGATGTTATTTGAGAGCAGTGTAGACCTTTAAATTACAATATAACTTTTCCCTTTAACAAATGTAATTCAGTACTATTAGATTATCTCATATTACTGGTAAACTGTATGTACAATTCCTTTCTCTTTTCTTTCTAGCCAGGACTAAAAGAAGTGGTAGAATCTTGTCGAGGAAAAAATCTGTTTTTTTCTACCAATATTGATGATGCCATCAAAGAAGCTGATCTTGTATTTATTTCTGTAAGTATTTTCCTTTGCGTGTGAATTTTAATGTATTCTTGTCTGTATAAAAGTTTCATTATACTTTAATAGTAAGTCTTTTGGTATTAAGCTACAAAATTGCTTTGTATAAAGTTGTCCATTTGAATTTTGGTAATCCCTTTTTCTATTAGTTCACTAAAGACCATAGTCATCTGTCAAACATAACATTTCAAGTCATTGAACAAGTGAATTCAAAGAAAGTTCTAATCTGAGATCTAGAACTAGGAAATGCTAGTAACATGTGAGTACATGTGCTGATAGTATATATATTCATTCCTCTATTATTTATATTTTAATTTTTTTAGAGGGTGGAGGGGGGTGTCTTTCTCTGTTGCCTAAGCTGCAGTGCAGTGTGGCATGATCATAGCTCACCACAGCAGCAAACTCCTCAGCTCAAGCATTCCTCCTGCCTCAGCTTCCCAAGTAGCTAGGACTGTAGGCGTGCACTACTGTGCCTGGCTCCTAAAGTCATTTTAAATTAATTGTTTGAAACTTGGCATGTGTTTGTTAGGTTATCAGGCTAGCCCATGGAAACCTTAAACTCATCATATGGCTCAACTGTTGAACCTTTATAATGAAAAAAATTGAACCAACTCTTGGGATCATATTCTAATTATCCAATATTTGAACCAAGGCAACTTATTTCTTGCTGTATTAATAACCATCTATTCAAATATTCTTTTTTTTTTTTTTTTTTTGGAGACAGAGTCTCACTTTGTTGCCCAGGTTAGAGTGAGTGCCCTGGCGTCAGCCTAGCTCACAGCAACCTCCAACTCCTGGGCTCAAGTGATCCTACTGCCTCAGCCTCCCAAGTAGCTGGGACTACAGGCATGCACCACCATGCCTGGCTAATTTTTTCTATGTATATTAGTTGGCCAATTAATTTCTTTCTATTTATAGTAGAGACGGGTCTCTCTCTTGCTCAGGCTGGTTTTGAACTCCTGACCTCGAGCAATCCACCTGTCTCGGCCTCCAGAGTGCTAGGATTACAGGCCAACGTGCCCGGCCTACTTAAATATTCTGTATGTGGTGGTATAGCTGTCACCAGCTGGCAGCTGAGCTAGAGTGTTATATGATTCAAGACTCTGTGGCCTTAGGGAATAAAGAGAAAGTGGTGTGAGCTTTGACAGAGTCCCATGCGATAAAGGAACAACCATGGGGTTCATAAAGGGTAGATGCTGTTGAATTGTGTATGTATGTTGTTAATGATTGTAAATTGTTGAATAGGGAGTTGTTTTCTAATTGGCAATTCAAAACCAAAACACTGGCCGGGCGAGGTGGCTCACGCCTGTAATCCTAGTACTCTGGGAGGCCGAGGCGGGTGGATTGCTCGAGGTCAGGAGTTCAAAACCAGCCTGAGCAAGACCCTGTCTCTACTAAAAATAGAAAGAAATTAATTGGACAACTAAAAATATATATACAAAAAATTTTAGCCAGGCATGGTGGCACATGCCTGTAGTCCCAGCTACTTGGGAAGCTGAGATAGGAGGATCGCCTGAGCCCAGGAGTTTGAGGTTGCTGTGAGCTAGGCTGACACCACAGCACTCACTCTAGTCTGGGCAACAAAGTGAGACTCCGTCTCAAAAAAAAAAAAAAAAAACCAAACACTGTGAGGATATGTGAATTCCAGAAGTGGTCACATAAGTGGTAACAAAGCCAATAGTAAAACTGTTAAGAATTCAATCTCTCTAGCCCAGGCAACAGAGTGAGACTCTGTCTCAAAAAAAAAAAAAAAAGAATTCAATCTCTCTTTTTGCCTTCTTTTTTTTTTTTTGAGACAGAGTCTCACTTTGTTGCCCAGGCTAGAGTGAGTGCTGTGGTGTCAGCCTAGCTCACAGCAACCTCAGTTTCCTGGGCTCAAGCAATCCTCCTGCCTCAGCCTCCCCAAGTAGCTGGACTACAGGCAGTGACCATGCCCGGCTAATTTTTTGTATATATATTTTTAGTTGGTCAATTAATTTCTTTCTATTTTTAGTAGAGACGGGGTCTCGCTCAGGCTGGTTTCGAAATCCTGACCTTGAGCAATCCTCCACCTCAGCCTCCCAGAGTGCTAGGATTACAGGCGTAATACAAATAACTGATTTTACACTTGCCTCTCTGCTTATCAAGCCTGAGCTGCCCTGAATCTTTCCAGGCAATTATTTTGTGTGCCTGCTAGGTTAATTTATTCTTGTATAATTGACAGTCTACTCATTATTCTTTGGATCATTTTTTTGTTTGCTTGTTGTATACTTTTCATCCTGGAAAATATCAAATTTATTCAAAAAATTAAGACAATAATATAATGACCCCCATTTGCCCATTCTCCATCATCAACAGTTATCATGACTGATTTTATTTCATTTACTACTTCTCTCCATTCCTTCCTGCCCCAGATTATTTTTAAGCGCATTCCAGACAGGAATCATGTTGTAGGAATCAGTTTTTAGCTATTATATATTCATAGCTCTTTATCAGGGGAAGCTGTCTGATCATCTCCCATCTTCAGCCAGTTGTGTCTTACCCCATTAGCTATGTCTGCCCTTCTGTACTCCATTGCCCCACCCTGCCCTACTTTGTTCCATGCATGTAAAGAGCTTTTTTCTCCTGCTTTTCACACCTCAACTCAATCTTCAAGTTTTGATTTGTTTTGGTTTGGTTCCTTTATTTAGTCTCCCATTAGATTATAAACTTGTAAGAGAAGAGAATTGGACCTACTTACTGTTAGTTAAAAAATAATTCCTATTACCATTAAGTTTTAGAGTTTTCAGATCACTTTCATTTTTATCAGAGCATTATAACACTCATGTATTAGTTTTATAGAGCATGTTATTCTTATTTTCCAATGAGGTCCTTAAGGCTGAGGCAGCCACACTTCCTCAAGGTTACATGCTACGGTGAAGCCAAAACCTAAATGCCTGGATTCTGGGCTCATGACTTTTCCCCCCCTATTTGAAAGTATTTGTTCACATAGTATTCTGTTTCCTTAAGATGCTAGGTAATATCTAGCTTTAATTAGCTAAGAAAGCATTTGTGAATGATATACTGCAAACATTTTTAAAAGCTGTTGATATAGGGCTATGAAAAAGGATAATAAGAAAGGAGTTTAAAGTTCATTTTTACAGACAATGATAATATATTACATATAATAAAGAAAGGAAAATAGAGAAAGTTTACATATAATTTCAGATTCTGAAGTCCTTTAGGATAAGAACTATCTCATTCACTTATATCTCCAGGGCTTAGCTTGGAATCAGCCTGTCCTGGCATAATGGCACATATATATAGCTTCTCAACAAAAATGTATTAAATGAGTTTTTCAGATGCTTCAAGCTATTTCTTCTGGTGATTATAAAGTCTATTATTTTCATGGAACTAATAGAGAATTAAATCAGGGCTACTTATGATAGTTAACTTCCCACTTGACTAGTTGATTGATAGTTCAGGGTATATCTTAAAATCAGACTATGTCACAGGTACCGTGTTCTTTTTCCCTTATACTTTCATCAGGTGAATACACCAACAAAAACCTATGGAATGGGGAAAGGCCGTGCAGCAGATCTGAAGTATATTGAAGCTTGTGCTAGACGCATTGTACAAAACTCAAATGGGTACAAAATTGTGACTGAGAAAAGCACAGTTCCAGTGCGGGCAGCAGAAAGTATTCGTCGCATATTTGATGCAAACACAAAACCCAACTTGAATTTACAGGTATAAAACAATGCATCATTGGAACCTGGTTATTCTCATGTAAATATTGATGCTTTAAAGTTGCCTGTAATGAATTCTAGCTTAAAACTTTTCTTTGCATTGGGACTCTAGGTGTTGTCCAACCCTGAATTCTTGGCAGAGGGAACGGCCATCAAGGACCTAAAGAACCCAGACAGAGTACTGATTGGAGGGGATGAAACCCCAGAAGGCCAAAGAGCTGTGCAGGCCTTGTGTGCTGTGTACGAACACTGGGTTCCTAGAGAAAGAATCCTCACCACTAATACTTGGTCTTCAGAGCTTTCCAAACTGGTTAGTTTCGACTCTTGTGAAATTTAAAGTCAAGTTTTTATTTGTCGTATAACGTGATGTGCTATACAGATACTTTTTTAATAAAAAAATTATGCTTTTGAAGATAATATTCTTGCATATTTAAATTATGGAACAGTTTTCACAAGGGGTATCAAATATCAGGGCATAAAGTATTCTGGAAAATACCAGAATTTTAATAAATTGTAAGATAAGATGGAGGGTACATTAAAATAGTAATTTATATTTTATTGCTGGTTCCTTCCTTTTACCCTTTTTCTTAATCATTTCTGTGCTCTAATTTAAAACATCTTCCCTTACCAACCCATTATTGTCCTCTCAAATTGAGCCCATCAGTATCTTTTATATCTCTCTCAGTAATTTGCATCAACTCAAGGAAATATAATCCAGATATGTAACATAATTGCTGTTTTAGCTCATCATATTTCCCCCTCTGCTTTTTTTTTTTTTTTTTAAGGCAGCAAATGCTTTTCTTGCCCAGAGAATCAGCAGCATTAACTCTATAAGTGCCCTGTGTGAAGCAACAGGAGCTGATGTAGAAGAGGTAGCAACAGCCATTGGAATGGACCAGAGGATTGGAAATAAGTTTCTAAAAGCCAGTGTTGGTAAATTAAAATTTTTCTCTACATAAAATGGGTTCATTTTGCTTGGTCTCTAAGAAAGTCTTTTTTTTAACTTAACATCCTTTGGGGGAAAAAAAGATTGTATATGTGTGGTCTTCAACCTACCAGAGACTTTCTTTTTGTTTTTGTTCTTTGTTTTTCTAAGCACCAAAGGCATCCTCAGTCAATACCAGTGACTTTCTAAGTGAGGAAATAATTACTTATATTGTTTAATAATTACTGATTGATTGGTAGGATAAACAGTTTAGTCTTTTAGGAGGAAGAAATCAGTATATAGTTAGAACATTTAGAAAGAATAAGTTTGAGAGACTGCAAAAAACTCAAGTAACAGCTTATTTTAAGCAAGTAGGAAAAAAATTTCCTAGTTTGTTTTTCCTACTAATATATCTTTCCAAATGTGGCCCGGTGAAATAGTCAATCCTCATTATTTGTGGAGTCTGACTTTGTGAATTTGCCTGCTCACTAAAATTTATTTGTAACTCCCAAATCAATACTCTCTGTGCTGTCATGGTCACTCTAGGACATGCACAAAGCAGTGAAAAATTTGAGTCATCTGATGCACATCTGAGCCCATTGAAGTCAAACAAGGCAATGCTTACAAACAAGTGTCCTTTCTGTGGTCTGTTGATAGCTGTGGTTTTCACATTTTTGTGCTTGGTGTTGATGATTTTGTTGCTTATAATGGTCTCCAGGTATACTGCTGAAGTGCTGTCTAGTGGTCCTAAGCACAAGAAGGCTGCCATGTGCCTTACAGAGAAAATATACGTGTTTCATAAGCTTTGTTCAGGCACAGGTTATAGTGCTGATGGCAGTAATTCAATGTTAAGGATCAGGCTGGGCTTGGTGGGCTCACGCCTGTAATCCTAGCACTCTAGGAGGCCAAGGCGGGCGGATTGCTCGAGGTCAGAAGTTCAAAACCAGCCTGAGCAAGAGCACGACGCCGTCTCTACTATAAATAGAAAGAAATTAATTGGCTAACTAAACATACATATATAAAATTAGCCGGGCATGGTGGTGCATGCCTGTAGTCCCAGCTACTCGGGAGGCTGAGGCAGAAGGATCGCTTGAGACCAGGAGTTTGAGGTTACTGTGACCTAAGCTGACACCACGGCTCTCTAGCCCAGACAACAAAAATGAGACTCTGTGTCAAAAAAAAGAATCAATAGTATATATTAAATAAGGTGTCAGAAACAGAAACACATGTAAAACAAGGTTATGCATTGATCACTTGACAAAAATGTGAACAGAAGCTTGGAGGAACCTAACCCACCTAAAAGCAGTGCTTTGATATTAGCCAATTCAGTGTTTGTGGTGACTTTGTAGAACATCACTACTACAAATAATGAGAATCGACTGTATTTTTTGATATGTAAGTTAATAAAGTTGGCATAAAGGTGAATAGACTCTTTTACAGATTGGGCCATATGTAGCCCTTCCAGTATTTCTGGGGCTGTATGTCATTTCCCAGTGCTGGTTTTCCTGGCCTTTTATATCTTTCTTTTTAATGTTTTCTTCTAGCTATCATTCAATACAAATAGCTACTATTTATAGAAGGCATATTATTTGCCAGTTTCAGTACTAGCACTTTATATATCTCATTTAATCCTTATAACTTGTTAGGAAGGTGTTGCTATTTCCTTTTCAGAGATGATTCAGACTCAGGGAAATTTGTAAACTTGCTAAAAGCCATATAATTAATGAGTGGCTAGATGTTTCTGACTCCAAAGCTCGTACGCAGTATGCAATGCTGCATATTATACCACACCAGAGCAAAATCCAGCCCACAACTTGTTTTTCTAAATGAGTTTTACTGGAACATAGCCATGCCCATTGATTACATATTGTGTATGGCAGCTTTTGAGCTACAGTGGTATAGTTGAATAGTTGCAACAGACACAATGTGGCCCACAAAGAATGAAATATTTACTATTTGGCCCTTTACCATAACATTTTTGCTGACCCTATGCTAGATTAAGTGATGTGGGCAGGCATACCAGATGAATGAGAAAAAATTTGAAGATAAAAGAAAACAAAACAAAAAGTCAAATGTAGCCATAATGAAACTTTAGTTAGAAAATTAGTTAGAAATTAGTTAAAGAGTTGATTAGTAGGCCGGGCGCGGTGGCTCACGCCTATAATCCTAGCACTCTGGGAGCCTGAAGCAGGCGGATTGAAACCAGCCTGAGCAAGAGCGAGACCCCATCTCTACTATAATTAGAAAGAAATTAATTGGCCAACTAATATATATATAGACAAAATTAGCTGGACATGGTGGCACATGCCTGTAGTCCCAGCTACTCGGGAGGCTGAGGCAGTAGGATCACTTGAGCCCAGGAGTTTGAGGTTGCTGTGAGCTAGGCTGATGCCACGGCACTCACTCTAGCCTGGGCAACAAAGCGAGACCTGTAAATTTCATATAATTCATAAACCCACTAATTTCCCAACATCTGAATTTTATTAAAAAATCTTGGCCGGGCATGGTGGGTTATGCCTGTGATCGTAGTACTCTGGGAGGCCGAGGCAGGAGGATTTCTTGAGGCCAGGTGTTCGAGACCAGCCTGAGCAACTTAGTTGGGCATGGTGGCACAAGTCTGTGGTCCTAGCTACTTGGAAAGCTGAGGCAGGAGGATCACGTGAGCCCAGGAGTTTGAAGTTACAGCGAGCTATGATAACACCACTGCACTCTAGCCTGGGCAACAGAGGGAGACCTTGTCTAAAAAGAAAAAAAAAGAAATCTTAGTATAGGCTCTTGGATTTAGTAATTCAGTTGTCTGTTCAAAATATTATCTTGATTTTTTTTTTTTTCCTTTCCTCAGGTTTTGGTGGAAGCTGCTTCCAAAAAGATGTTCTAAATTTGGTTTATCTCTGTGAGGCTCTGAATTTGCCTGAAGTAGCTCGTTATTGGCAGCAGGTATTGATCTTTATAGTTATAATTTCTGTCTACCTTCTAATTAAACATGTTATCCTCTGTGTAATGTTTTGGTTTTGATGGAATTTATTTATTCCAGGTACTCAATGATTATTATATTCAGTTTGCTTATTTTAGGTTGAATTATTGAGCTTCTGTGTTTTTAATTCTTTTTTGCTAATCTACTGTGATGGAATTTTCTGATAAACCGGTTTTTCTTCTAATTTTATAACTAAATTTGCTTCCTGAGTAAAGTAAGAACTATTATCCTTAATTATAATTCTCCATCTTGAAAGGCATAAAATTAAAGGAAGAACCTATATTGCTTTCAAGTGGTTTATATTTATTTGTTTTGGCCCTTTCAGATTCACAGAGCTAAAATTAGAAATCCTTCCCAAATCAGAAGCATTGAATGAGCTCTAGGGACTAATGTTTATTGCATGTGTGCTTACCCTGTACTCTTTGGGGCACTTTGCAGGAAGTATCTCATTTAGCCCTCATCATGAACATTATTCCCATATTTAGATGAGGAAATTGACACTTAGAGATGTTAAGTTATTTGCCCAAGGTACTAGCCAGTGTATGTGCCTTTCCCAAATATATCTCCTCTGAGTTTGTAATTTTTTAGATTTCAGCAATAGATATGAGAGGGAATGTAAGGAAATGAACATTTTTTAGGGAAAGTGTATACTCTTAGTGTCATTTCAGTCAATCCAGCATGATGGCTTTATCTTATTGTTCATTGTGTGAAAAATACAGGTGAAGTCTTGATTTTCCAAATCTTTGGTCTTATATTCCTCTCTCAAGGTTTTTTTATGGCCCCTAGAAGCTTAGAGCCTTTAAAAAAATCTATTTCTTTATGCTTTCTGTTCATCAACCTAAATTTAACAAGTGAGATGATCAGAGACTCTTACAGCATTTAGTTTAAAAGTTTTCAAATGTTTGTGGTGCTATGGTTCATCTAGAGACAGCTGTAAGTCTGCACATTGACTCTCCCCTATCCACTTTCTACTCAAACTGAATTTTGGTGAATGTATAAGCATATGAAGGAGTACTTTGGGGTTTGATTGCTTACAGCCTTGCTCCTGCAGGGTTGAAGAAGTTGGCTGAGGAAAATACTGTTTTAGATGTGGCTTATTTAGGCTGGCCTCAGAGCTGGACCTCAAATGCTCTTAAGAGTTAACACTTAGTTGTTCTCCCTATTCATTCATCCCAGCCTGTTACATGGAAAGTCTATCCAAATGAAAATGAAAATTTTCAGGACGGCTTTAAGGAAGGGATAGGTGGTTCTTCTATTTTTAAATCTGAGGACACTAGGGTTTAGTTAATCTTTGCCTCCTGTTGAAGTATAAGCCTTGTATTCATACTATAGCACTCACCATAAAACTCTGAGTAATGTGTGTTATCGGTTGCATCTCTTTTAACCAATCATTACACAATTGTACATGTAATTTCAGGTCATAGACATGAATGACTACCAGAGGAGGAGGTTTGCTTCCCGAATCATAGACAGTCTGTTTAATACAGTGACTGATAAGAAGATAGCTATTTTGGGGTTTGCATTCAAAAAGGACACTGGTGATACGAGGTATCAATTCTTTAAAATATTTTGCCCCTTTGAGAGTGTGTCTACTCCTCATATTATCCTGGTTTTTTTTTTTTTTTGAGACAGGTCCACTTGTTTGCCCAGGCTAGAGTGAGTGCTAGCGTCAGCGCCTGGGCCCCACTAGCAACCTCATCCCGGGGCTCAGTATCCTACTGCCTCAGCTCCTGAGATAGCGCTGGCTACAAGGCATGCGCCACCGCATGCCCAGCTAACTTTTGTTGTATAGATATCATTTTTAGTTGGTCAATTAATTTATTTATCTTTTTGGTAGAGACGGGTCTCGCTCAGGCTGGTTCGAACCCCATGACCTTGACCCAATCCGCCCGCCTCGGCCTCCCAAAGTGCTAAGATTACAGTATCCTGGTTTTTTGATTGGTGGATGTATGATGACAAAATGTTGTAGTGTTGTGTGTGTATTAAAACTAAAAGATTAAAAAACCATCCTGGCCAGGCACGGGTGAGCTCCGCCTGTAATTCCTAGCACTCTGGGGGGTCCCGAGGCGGGAGGATGTCAAGGTCAGGGAGTCGTCGAACCCAGCCTGAGCAAGAGCAGACCTCGGTCTCTCTACTCATAAATAGAAAAAAATTAATTGGCTAACTAAGATAATATATCAAAAAATTAGCCGGGCATGTGGCGCATGCCGTAGTCCAGCTACTCAGGAGGCTGAGGCAGGAGATTGCTGAGCCAGGAGTTGAGGTTGCTCGTGAGCTAGGCTGACGCCACGGCACTCCACTCTAAGCCTGGGAACAAAGTGCTCATGTCTCAAAACAAATAAAAAAAAAAAAAAAGAATATAATGCCACTTAAAGCTTAGCAATACTGATTTTTTTTTTCCTTCAGAGAATCCTCTAGTATATATATTAGCAAGTATTTGATGGATGAAGGCGCACACCTCCATATATATGATCCAAAAGTACCCAGGGAACAAATAGTTGTGGATCTTTCTCATCCAGGTGTTTCAGAGGATGACCAAGGTAAGGCTTTGAATCTCACTTTGAAAATAGACCCCAAAACTAGAAACCTTTAGTTGTTCAGTTTTATCATTTATATCATTGACAACCTCGTTTCTCTAAAATTAAACTCTTTGTTTTTTCTGGAGACAGAGTCTCACTCTGTTGCCCAGGCTAGAGTGCTGTGGCGTCAGCCTAGCTCACAGCAACCTCAAACTCCCGGGCTCAAGCGATCCTCCTGCCTCAGCCTCCCGAGTAGCTGGGACTACAGGCATGCACCACCATGCCCGGCTAATATTTTCTATATGTTTTTAGTTGGCCAATTCATTTCTTTCTATTTTTAGTAGAGACGGGGTCTCACTTTTGCTCAGGCTGGTCTGGAACTCCTGAGCTCAAATGATCCACCCACCTCGGCCTTCCAGAGTGCTAGGATTACAGGCATGAGCCACTGAACCTGGCCTAAAATTAAACTCTTAGGTGTTATGTCATCAATTTTGATTTGAAGTGATCAGCTGTTAGTTAGTCCAATGATCTTTCCAACATATTCCATCCACAGAGCCCAGAGGTTCCCAAAAGACGCTCTGGTGCAGGGTTGGGGCTGCTTCAGGTCCATCATCACCCGTTCATATTTCAGTCGAACTGTTCCACTGCTGTCAGATGCCCAGCTTCTCTTGCAATTCTAGTGTTGGATACGCACAGTAATTCCCCCTTATTTGTGGTTTCCTTTCTGTAGTTTTAGTTACCCAAGGCCAACATTGGTGTGAAAATATTAAATGAAAAATTACAAAAATAAATAATTCGTAAGTTGTAGATTGTGTGCTATCCTGACTAGTGTGATGAAATCTCTCTCCATCCTGCCTGAGACAGGAGTCATCCCTTCGTCCAGCATATCCACACTGTGTGTGCTACAGCCTATTAGTCGCTTAGTAGCAGTTTGGTTATCCTATCCAAAAAACAGCAAATGTATACAGGGCTCAGTACTGTCCACATCTCAGACACCCACTGGAGGTCTTGGAATGTACCCCTGTGGGTATGGGGCAACTGTGATTTCAAATAACTCCTGTTTTGGTTCTGTTTTGTTGTTGCTGCTGTTATATAGTGTCCCGACTTGTGACCATTTCCAAGGATCCATATGAAGCGTGTGATGGTGCCCATGCTGTTGTTATTTGCACCGAGTGGGACATGTTCAAGGTGAGGTGACTGAAATGATATTAAGGAAAATTCTAGAGGTGTTCTAGTGTCAGTGGGGTTGAGTATGGGTTCATGTATATGTTCTAATTATTCCTTTGGTATGTCTTTACAGGAATTGGATTATGAACGCATTCATAAAAAAATGCTGAAGCCTGCTTTTATCTTTGATGGACGGCGAGTCCTGGACGGGCTCCACAGTGAACTACAAGCCATTGGCTTCCAGGTAATCGTGATCCTGGACTGGTTTTTTTTTGTTGTTGTTGTTTGGTCATTTGCTTTTTAAACCCATTGCAAGGGTTTTAGAATTTTCATATTTTCTCATTTAGCAATAACATAACTCTGAAGCAACATGTCAATTCTGTGGGAAGTTTCTGTGGGATTTTTAAATACGTATCTTTTAAATATGTATCTTAAAGCAGAATGTGCCCTGTTTTACCTCATATTATAAAAATCAAGTAAGAAAATACATTAATGTGTTTTGAAAACTGCAAAATGCAATATAGTTGTATGTTGGTATTATTATTATTGTTTTGTTTTTTTTTTTGAGACAGAGTCTCGCTTTGTTGCCCAGGCTAGAGTGAGTGCCGTGGCGTCAGCCTAGCTCACAGCAACCTCAATCTCCTGGGCTCAGGCAATCCTACTGCCTCAGCCTCCCAAGTAGCTGGGACTACAGGCATGCGCCACCATGCCCGGCTAATTTTTTCTATATATATTAGTTGGCCAATTAATTTCTTTCTATTTATGGTAGAGACAGGGTCTCGCTCTTGCTCAGGCTGGTTTTGAACTCCTGACCTGGAGCAATCCGCCCGCCTTGGCCTCCCAGAGTGCTAGGATTACAGGTGTGAGCCACCTCGCCCGGCCCTATTATTATTGTTTATTATCATTTCCAGTCCACCCAATTCCCTTGTTATCTTCTCTTACCCAAGGAGGATTTGGGCAAGGGGTGGGGTATGATTGAGGTGGCGATTAAGGAAGTACTCTGCCTTGGGAAGAGTGCCTATATGAGAATAGCTACCATCCACACTACCAGGTACCCAGAGAAAGGGTCTCAGTCAGCCAGCATGTGTTCATCCTATACTCGTTGAGTACTCAGCACTGTCCCAGTGCTGTGAGAGGCCTGAATGAAGTAGATGGGAGTTTTAGTGGTGCTGGCTCTCTTCTAATTCAAAGTCTGTCAATTATGGAACATTGGGAAAGCTGACAGAAGCCTCTGCCCAGAACAGTACATTTGCATGTTACATCTATTTTGATTCTACAAAGGGACCCAAAAGTATTAGTAAGAAGGAACTACTTTTCATTTCCTCAGAGCATTGTGAATAAGTGGTTGAGAGGCTGGGGAGAGACAGGGCAAGTTAGGGAGGATAAAGAAATATGCCAGAGGTTACTGTCAGCATAGTGTCCGGGCAGGGCAGGGCAGAGGCAGTGTTTGATGGCTTGCTCTGTGAGTCTCCTCAGCACTAATTGTCCTGGAGAGATACCAGTAAGGCTTCATCTATTCAAAAATATCTGATCTGGTTCTTAATTTCTCACCACCTTGTTGAAGGTCCTTCTTTTTTTTTGAGACAGAGTCTCATCCTGTTGCCCAGGCTAGAGTGCCGTGGCATCAACCTAGCTCACAGCAACCTCAAACTCCTGAGCTCAAGTGATCCTCCTGCCTCAGCCTCCTGAGTAGCTGGGACTACAGGCATGCGCCACCATGCCCAGCTAATTTCTTCTGTATATATTAGTTGGCCAATTAATTTCTATTTATAGTAGAGATGGGTCTCGCTCTTGCTCAGGCTGGTTTTGAACTCCTGACCTCGAGCAATCCGCCTGCCTCGGCCTCCCAGAGTGCTAGGATTACAGGCGTGAGCCACTGCACCCGGCTATGAAGGTCCTTCTTATTTAGAATTTGGTGCCCATTTCACATTCATGAGAGATTTGCTTCCAGCAAACATCAGATGGCATCCTTGTCTCTCCCATCAAGGACCTAGGGGACTCTTCTGTTCCACCCCTCCTTAGTGAATAACAACATGGCAGTTTTTCCCAAACATGACCTAAACTCAGGAATGTTATTTTTAAAACGTTATTTACGGCCAGGTGCGGTGGCTGATTCCTGTAATCCTAGCACTCTGGGATGCTGAGGCAGGTGGATCATTTGAGCTCAGGAGTTTGAGACCAGCCTGAGCAAGAGCGAGACCCCGTCTCTACTAAAAAAATAGAAAGAAATTAGCTGGACAACTAAAAATACATAGAAAAAATTAGATGGGCATGGTGGCACATGCCTGTAGTCCCAGCTACTTGGGAGGCTGAGGCAGAAAGATCCCTTGAGCCCAGGAGTTTGAGGTTGCTGTGAGCTAGACTGAGGCCATGGCACTCTAGCCCAGGCAACAGAGTGAGACTCTGTCTCAAAAAAAAAGTTATTTACAAGCCGTAGACACATTGTTTCTCATTCCCTGATTTACTCATCTAAGAGAAAAGAAGTAGGGAGATACATATTTAAAATGATTTTGAGCTCTTATAAAAGTTAACTTTTCCTAATAAAGATTAAAAAAAAATTAAGAGTGGAATCACTGAATAATTTCTAAGTCAACTGGTTAATATAAAGCAGAAGCCCTCTCTTTGTGGTATGAGTCAGAATTAAATATTAGTTTTTAATTCAAAAGACATGAAAATTGAGTAGTATATTTATTTCTTTTGTGGAGGGGAGAAAACTTATGACTATTAAAGAAGTATCTTTAAAGATAAGACTGATAATATTGAATATATGGAATATATAGAAAATGTGATATGCAAAATAAAAATTGACTATCATTTCTTGAAGGCTAACTTGGTGTATGCTACATACTTTATCCAGTTTAATCTTTATCACAACCCTTTGAGGTAGGTGGTAGTAACACAACATACTAGTGAAGAAGATAGACCTAGAGAGTTTAGGATTCTAAGCAGGGCCTTTCAGACTCTGAAGCCTGAACTTTTAAGAACTATGCTATTACAGCTTTTGCAAGTTTTTTAGTATATGGGAAATAGAAATGAGAATAGAGTATTAGAGAGAATATGAACTAACTGGAATCTGATCTGTTAATTGTTTTCATATATGTTTCTAAAAACAATAGTGGCATATGATTCACTACTGTGATATTTGGGGAAGTCTTGTGTGGGGAATGGCAGGAGTGAGAATGTCTAAATATCAATATGAACAGTGGAATATAGACTGATTCTAGAAACACAAAAATAGGAAGGGAACCAGAGATCTCTTATAGCAACCCAGACAATTTGAGAAACCTTTTCTGCTTTTAACAAGAAAAATAATCTAGGTTTTCCCCTTTATTTCACTACATTATAGAGTTCTTAAATTTATGTATTATAATTTTTAATAGTTCTCTTTTTAAAAATCTTTTTTCTTCCTTCAGATTGAAACAATTGGCAAGAAGGTGTCTTCAAAGAGAATTCCATATGCTCCTTCAGGTGAAATTCCAAAATTTAGTCTTCAGGATCCACCTAGCAAGAAACCTAAAGTATAGATATTGCCATTTTTGTTTGTGATATTTTTGGTACTTTAGGATAGCAGATATCTATCGAATACTAAATGGTAAATGAACCAAGTGTTTTTAAGGAAACAAAATTATTTTTTTAATCAAATTTATATTAGCTATATGGGTATTAGCATATCTGATAATTATGAATCTAGAATATTTTTTACATATTTTTATAATTTTGTGAGCTTGGTTATTGGATGAATGGCAAATAATCATGTTGGTTTTAATGGTATCAATTTTTGTAAAATAAAAATTAAACTTCAAACGCCTTTTACTTTATAATTGTTGATAGGCAGCACTTTAATATCACATTATGAAGGGAAAGACATTCTTCAGTTTTCCTGGTCATTTGTTTGTTTGTCATTAAATGAAGCCATGAAATTACTAAATACTCTTTACAAGTATGGCTGGTTAAAGTTCTCTGTTCCTTTTGTTTTAATGAGATGTGTCATTGATTTTTTTAGCTCACTCCAAACATAGTTGAAAGGTTTTTTTTGGCCGGGTGTGGTGGCTCACGCCTATAATCCTAGCACTCTGGGAGGCCGAGGTGGGAGATTGCTCAGGGTCAGGAGTTCAAAACCAGCCTGAGCAAGAGCGAGACCCCGTCTCTACTATAAATAGAAAGAAATTAATTGGCCAACTAAAAACATATAGAAAAAAAAATTAGCTGGGCATGGTGGCGCATGCCTGTAGTCCCAGCTACTTGGGAGGCTGAGGTAGGAGGATCGCCTGTGCCCAGGAGTTTGAGGTTGCTGTGAGCTAGGTTGATGCCACGGCACTCACTCTAGCCTGGGCAACAGGGTGAGACTCTGTCTCAAAAAGAAAAAAAAAAGGTTTTTTTTCTTTGACCTGAAAAGAAAATCAATAATATTGTCTATTTCTCTCCCCTTTATTTCTTAGTTTTCCTCACTGATCATTATTTTTATAGTTGAAGAGCCAAAAATATTTACTTGATTTTGCATTTTTTATTTCTATTCTTTATTGTAATTTTTCCTTTTTCCTTTAAATAAGCAAGCCAATATATCTCATATATAAACCAAAAGAAGTAGATTTAACAAATTACATATAACATTACTCTAAGAATTTTTGTGTCTATATCTATCTGTTTTTTTCTTATGTCTCTTGTTGGCTTTTATATTTGCAGTAGTTGTTTATGCTTTTGTTTGATCATTATTGAATATGTCACATGTCCATTTGATGCTTGTGTTCTGCCAAGAGGGCACAAACTATGTTAAACAGATACACATCTCATCCTTTGGGAATTTTGCAGTTCCATTAAAAATGAGGCAGTATATAAAGATGAGGGTACATCTGTACAGATAACAAATACATAAATAAAATATTCCACATCAACAACTCTGTGGGTGTAATTTTTATCATGGTGCAAGTAATTATTGAGTCATAACAGTCTAACATTAGGTGGGGAAAAAATGATTCTTCACTTTTTAGAGAAAAGAGTATTAGATCATTCTTCCAAATGATGCACGAAAGGGAAGGAATTTTAGCAAAAAACCCTTTGCATAGGCAAACTGTAGCCCATGGGCCAAATCTATCCAACCATGCTTGAGGTAAGAATGGTTTATACATTATTGTATGATTATATTTTAAATGGTTATGTAAGTCCCTACATAATATTCTCAATTTTACTTCTTGGCCTACAAAGACTAAAATATTTGCAATCTAACCCTTTAAGAAAAAGTTAGGCTGGGCGCAGTGGCTCACGCCTGTAATCCTAGCACTCTGGGAGGCCGAGGCAGGCAGATTGCTTGAGGTCAGGAGTTGGAAATTAGCCTAAGCAAGAGCGAGACCCTGTCTCTACTATAAATAGAAATAAATTAATTGGCCAACTAATATATATAGAAAAAATTAGCCAGGCATGGTGGCACATGCCTGTAGTCCCAGCTACTCAGGAGGCTGAGGCAGGAGGATCACTTGAGCCCAGGAGTTTGAGGTTGCTGTGAGCTAGGCTGACGCCATGGCACTCACTCTAGCCTGGGCAACAAAGCTAGACTGTCTCAAAAAAAGAAAAAGTTAAAAGACAAGAAAAACAGAGTGTCAACATAAAATTAGCCGTTACTCATAAGACTTTGAAGCAAGGATGAGGTTATTAATTAGAATTTGCTTTACATTACTGCTTGGAATATTCTTGTATTCTGCTTAATAATTTTATATTCTAGTAAAAGGATTATAAAGCCAAAGATGTCTTGCTAAAGTGGATAGAATTAGACACTTATTTTAAATTGCAGGATGCTTCACTGCCTAGAATTGATAAGTAATTATGTATAAAATATAGTTACTGATTAAAAGATAGAATTGGTAAGTGGAGGAAAATGGGCAAAAGAGGGCGCATAGAGGTGTGTAAACTTGCTGTTTGTAATGGGGACTGCCACTCTGGAAACAAAAATTTTTCCTTGGGGCCACGGTGCTTTTTTACAAAACTAGAATAAAAACTTTGAAAACAAAACGATCCTTTGTAATTTAATGAAAAATTTATTTTTTTTCTGTGCATAAGTTATATGCAACTTGAAAAATAGTTCTTGGAGCTCCCAAGGTGAAGAAATGTCTGAGTTACACATACCTAAAGAGGCTCCAGGCTCAAAACTAGTGTGAGTTAAATACAACTAACATGGCAGTTAATGTGTTAATACTGAACACTTCAGGTAGGCACTACACAAAGCATTCTCTTTAAGTGCATTCTGTTTTTTTATTTCAGAGTATTACAGGGGTACAAATGTTTTGGCTACATAAGTTGCTTCGTACAGTTTGAGTTAAAGTTGTAAGTGTGCCCATCACCCAGATAGTGTGCATGGCACCTGTTAGGAGTGAATTTACCCATCCCCTCCCACCTGCTTGAATTCCGTTCAATTTTACTACCATATGTGTACATGAGTGTTGATCAATTAGTTCCAATTTAATAGTGAGCACATGTTTGTTTTTCCATTCTTGTGATATTTCACTTAGAAGGATGGTCTCCAGATCTATCCAGGATGTTACAAAGGTATTAGTTCACCATTGTTTTTTATGGCTGAGTAATACTCCCTGGTATACATACATCACATTTTATTAATCCACTCATGTATTGATGAGCACTTGGGCTGTTTCCACATCTTTGCAATTGTGAATTGTGCTGCTATAAACATTTGAGTCCAAGTGTCTTATTAATAAAATGTTTCAAGTGATCCTCCCACCTCAGCCTTCTGAGTAGTTAGGACTACCACACATCATTACACCTGGCTAATTTTTTTATGTTTTATAGAGATGGGGTCTCACTATGTTGCTCATGTTGGTCCAAAACTCCTGGGTCTCCAGTGATCCTCCTGCCTTGGCCTCCCTAAATGCTGGGACTACAGGCCTGAGCCATTGTGCCCAGTCCACTTTCATTTTTTAAAAAAATGCTGTTTGTGCTACAGAAGGTTACACACACTGAAATGTCATACACCAAATTTTAATACATTGGAAACCACTGATGCATTAACTTGTGCTGTCAGATTTTTATACAGACTTCCTGCCATGTCTGTGCATTTAAACGTTCTTTTTTTTTCCTTTTGAGACAGAGTCTCACTCTTGCCTGGGCTAGAGTGCCATGGTGTCAGCCTAGCTCACAGCAACCTCAAACTTCTGGGCTCAAGCAATCCTCCTGCCTCAGCCTCCCGAGTAGCTGGGACTACAGGCATATGCCATCATGCCCATCTAATTTTTTCTATGTATTTTTAGTTGGCCAATTGATTTCTTTCTATTTTTAGTAGAGATGGGTCTCACTCTTGCTCAGGCTGGTCTCGAACTCCTAACCTTGAGCATTCCTCCCACCTCGCCCTTCCCAGAATACTAGGATTACAGGCATGAGCCACTGTGCCTGGCCCTCTTAAATGTACTTCTTATGTATGTGTGTTGTGGGTTATATATATATATATATATATTTTTTGAGACAGAGTCTCACTTTGTTGCCCAGGCTAGAGTGAGTGCCGTGGCGTCAGCCTAGCTCACAGCAACCTCAAACTCCTGGGCTCAAGCAATCCTCCTGCCTCAGCCTCCCGAGTAGCTGGGACTACAGGCATGCACCACCATGCCCGGCTAATTTTTTTTTTGTATATATACTTTTAGTTGGGCCAATTATTTCTTTCTATTTTTAGTAGAGATGGGGTCTCGCTCAGGCTGGTTTTGAACTCCCGACCTTGAGCAATCTGCCCGCCTCGGCCTCCCAGAGTGCTAGGATTACAGGCGTGAGCCACCGCACCCGGCCTATATTTTTTTTTTAAACAAGAATCTCTCACTCTGTTGCCCAGGCTAGAGTGCCGTGGCATCAGCCTAGCTCACAGCAACCTCAAACTCCTGGACTCAAGAGATCTTTCTGCCTCAGCTTCTTGAGTAGGTGGGACTGCAAGTATGTGCCACCACGCCCAGCTAATTTTTCCTATTTTTGGTAGAGACAGGGTCTTGCTCTTGCTCAGGCTGGTTTTGACCTACTGAGCTCAAACGATCCGCCTGCCTCGGCCTCCCAGAGTGCTAGGATTACAGGCGTGAGCCACCGTGCCTGGCCTAAATGTACTTATAAATGCATCATTGTAGAAAGGTCAAAAGCTTTGCCCTTACCTTTAAAAATTCAAGTCTGTCCATTCTTATGTAAGGGAGTACACCTTGTGTAAGGGTGGACATATACTGTATGTATAGAATGTATACAGTATATATATACATATAGTATGTATACAGTATATGTCCACTACACGCTAATGTCCAGCAAGACCCAGGCATTTCCTCACACACATCCCAGTCATGGTATAATGGTCAGTTACGTAATAATGAGCAAATGAATAACAAATGAATACATTATTTGTGATTCCACTCTGAAATAAACATTTCTGGCCACTTTTAATTTCTGGATTTAATTTAACTTGAAAAGTATCCTGAGATTGTAAGATAAAGTATTTTAAAATTTTTTTGGGCTGGGCACAGTGGCTCACTTCTATAATCCCAGCACTTTGGGAGGCTGAGATGGGAGGATTGCTTGAGGAGTTTGAGAGCAGCCTGGGTGACATAGTGAGAGCCTGTCTCTTAAAAAAAAAAAGCCAGGTCTAGTAGTACACACCTGTAGTCCCAGCTACTCAGGAAGCTAAGGCAGGAGGATCCTTTAAGCCCAGGAGTTTGAGGTTGCAGTGAGTTGTGATGACACCACTGCACTACAGCCTGGGAAAGAGAGTTGAAACCCTGTCTCAAAAAAACAATAAAAGCCAAAATTTTTTTTATTATTTACTATTATTTAGCTGTATCACTCAGGATCTTTCAATACTGTGGCACCAAAACAAAGGAATTAAGCACACTATTAAGGCTGACGGAAGACTGTAACTGTCACTCCCAATTTCACATGTATATATTGAAACAGCTTCATTTCATCATTCACTATTTTTATATACAGAATAAATAAAAGTTACAAATCTGAAACTTTAATATGCTTTTGTGCTAATGAAGTACCA